GAACTTCATGACTTTTTGCAGTAAATTCTTCTCACTCTTTTGGTTGTGTTGTAAACAAACGGTTGTGTTTCCACAGTAACGTCCTGCTGCACATGGACCTGGAGAAGTCCAGCATCTTCCTCCGAGGTCCTCAAGGAACCAACTGGACCGTTCTGAACCTGCAAAACACCAAACTATCAGTGAGTACACAATATCCCTGCAAAAGGACTGGACATTTGACACACAGACAGACACACACACACACACAGACACACAGACAGATGCGCACACACACAGACACACAGACAGATACGCACACACACATACGCACACACACACACACACATAGACACACAGACAGATACACACACACACACACACACGCACACGCACACACATGCACACACGCACACGCACAAACAAACACACACACACACACACAGACACACACACACAGACACACGCACAGACACACAGACAGATACGCACAAACACACACGCACACACACACACATACACACACACACGCACACACCTGTACTCACCTGTGCCCTGTGTATCCTACAGTCGAACAACGAGATCCTGATCCGACACCATTCCCTCGTTCACCGCCTGCCCCCGGCGTTCCCTCTGGACAGCGACGAGCCCGAGGTGGTCCAGAGAAAAGCCCTGGACTATTTCAGAACCTCCAGTTTCACCAGTTACACCGAAATCACCACCGACGGATCCGCGCTGGTGCTGAGGCTGCCGAAGAAGGCCGTCAACATCGGTACAGCACCAGATAACACCGTTTTATTAGAGTTAAAGGAGCAGTGTGTAAAAATGTGGCCAAAAGTGGTACTGCAGCCTCTCCCACTCTCCCTGACTCAGGTTGCCAGATATGCAGACGAATCCAGCTGGGACCATAACAGCTGAATAGACAAGAGTTTAGTCAACAACAAATCTATAACCAACACCTTTTTCACAAAGATAGAAATCCTGCTTTTATTCCTTGTTTTGTCGTTAATGATTTGAGAATCATAACGAGACCTTTTTTAGTTCTGCGCCACATGGTACTTTACCAGTGAGATTAGCTCCACGCGGTGAGTTCTGGCGACCGGATCACAGACTTTCTGATTGGTGAAACGGTGGAGGGCGGGACATCAAAATGAAAACAACAACAAGATTTAGGGGCTGGAAAAGTAATTTAGAAATTCAAATATCTCTGGACTACTGTAATCAGTTAACTTATTGACGTGTTTGTCTGAGACCGGAGATTTCTGTAAAACTTCCCTCTATTCGACCGGGGATTACAGAAGAACAAAACTAGCGAGAAACACACTTATTTTTTGCTGATGAAAGTAGACAATCCAATCTTTCAGAATCTGGTTTTGTATTTCACATAGACATAGCATACAATGTTTTGTGGGTCTTGAAAATCAGTGAAATCTTCAAAAATGGCTAGCAGTCTAGAAGAATTGGAAAAGAGCAGTTTATTATTATGACAGATTAGGGCCCTTTAAGTATGACTGGACATGAAAATCTTTCTTGTTGCTACTTTAAACAATGTTGTGTGTTTCTTTGCTGTAGTTTCAGAAACAGCCGTCCCGGTGACCACCAGCGCCCCCCAGAGGATGCCGCTGACGATGCTGCTCTATAACTCTCGAGACTTCAGTTCTCCTCTGGACCCCAACGCCAAGGTCCAGAGCAACAGACGCATCTATGCAGAGGTAGCAGACATGTTTAACCCTTTAATGTTCTCTCCTGGATGTAAACAAGTTTAAAATAGTTTGTTTAGATTTTCTCTTGGAGCACTGAGTTTCAATCAAACTTTTCATATCAACGACCAGAGAGAGACCAGAGATAGAGAGACCAGAGAGAGACCAGAGAGAGACCATAGAGAGAGACCAGAGAGAGACCAGAGAGAGACCAGAGATAGAGAGACCAGAGAGAGACCAGAGAGAGACCATAGAGAGAGACCAGAGAGAGACCAGAGATAGAGAGACCAGAGAGAGACCAGAGAGAGACCATAGAGAGAGACCATAGAGAGAGACCAGAGAGAGACCAGAGAGAGACCAGAGAGAGACCAGAGATAGAGACCAGAGAGAGACCAGGGAGAGACCATAGAGAGAGATCAGAGAGAGACCAGAGAGAGACAAGAGAGAGAGAGACCAGAGAGAGACCAGATAGAGACCATAGAGAGAGACCAGAGAGAGACCAGAGAGAGACCAGAGAGAGACCAGAGAGAGACAAGAGAGAGACCATAGAGAGACCAGAGAGAGAGACCAGAGAGAGAGACCACAGAGAGACCAGAGAGAGACCACAGAGAGACCAGAGAGAGAGACCAGAGAAAGAGACCAGAGAAAGAGACCAGAGAGAGAGACCACAGAGAGACCAGAGAGAGACCACAGAGAGACCAGAGAGAGAGACCAGAGAAAGAGACCAGAGAGAGAGACCAGAGAGAGACCAGAGAGAGAGACCAGAGAAAGAGACCTGAGAGAGACCAGAGAGAGACCAGAGAGAGAGACCAAATGAATGTCCTGGATCATCACCCCTGTCCTTATGTTTGACCCAGTGGGGGCGGGTCCCGGCTCAAAAATGTCCAAAATGACGTGCGCTGACATGCTGCCATACCCACCCGGGCCTGTGGGGGTGTACCCGGAATAAGAATTATCCAATGCTAATATATAGCATCTTCTCTCCTTTTAAAAACTTCTTTACAGGATGGTCCAAAAGTGGCTCTTGACCCAAAGCTCCGTTCTACACGTGTCAATGCTGAGGGGAGTGTTTTGGACCAGTCTAGTTTAGCTGCTGTGGACTTTAGAATGCACTCGTCAAATGAACGGGGGTCGTGCATTTTCCAGCCCCCGTGGCCATTTTGAAAAGCCCATAGAAGGCAACAGTGGTGGCACATTAATTCAACGGTGGCGATAGGTGTGACTTCGTCTGTTTACAGTCTATGGTTTGACCCAGACAAGGATCCAGGTTTATTTTTGCTACAGAATTTGGCGAATCCACATTGCCAAATTCTATGGTCTCTCTCTCTGGTCTCTCTCTCTGGTCTCTCTCTGGTCTCTGTCTGGTCATTCTCTGTTCCCTCTCTGGTCCCTCTCTCTGATCTCTCTCTTAAGTCTCTCTCTGGTCTCTCTTTCTACTCTCTCTCTGGTCTCTCTCTCTGGTCCCTCTTTGATCTCTATCTAGTCTCTCTCTGGTCTCTCTCTTTAATGTCTCTCTAGTCTCTCTCTGGTCTCTCTCTGGTCTCTCTCTGGTCTCTCTCTGGTCTCTCTCTGGCCTCTCTCTGGCCTCTCTCTAGTCTCTCTCTGGTCTCTCTCTCTGGCTCCTCTCTAATCTCTCTCTCTCTGGTCTCTCTCTAGTCTCTCTCTGGCCCCTCTCTAGTCTCTCTCTCTGGTCCCTCTTTAGTCCTCTCTCTGGTCTCTCTCTCTGGTCTCTCGCTGGTCTCTCTCTAGTCTCTCTCTCTGATCTCTCTCTAGTCTCTCTCTCTGGTCTCTCTCTAGTCTCTCTCTCTGGTCTCTCTCTTGTCTCTATCTCGTCCCTCTCTAGGCCCTCTCTAGTCCTCTCTCTGGTCTCTCTCTTGTCTCTCTTTGGTCCCTCTCTAGTCTCTCTCTCTGGTCTCTCTCTTGTTTCTCTCTCTGGCCCCTCTCTAGTCTCTCTCTCTAGTCTCTCTCTCTAGTCTCTCTCTGGCCCCTCTCTAGTCTCTCTCTCTAGTCTCTCTCTCTGGTCTCTCTCTGGTCTCTCTCTAGTCTCTCTCTCTAGTCTCTCTCTCTGGTCTCTCTCTCTAGTGTCTCTCTCTAGTCTCTCTCTCTGGTCTCTCTCTCTAGTCTCTCTCTCTAGTCTCTCTCTCTAGTCTCTCTCTCTCTAGTCTCTCTCTCTGATCTCTCTCTAGTCTCTCTCTGGTCTCTCTCTAGTCACTCTCTGGTCTCTCTCTAGTCTCTCTCTCTGATCTCTCTCTGGTCTCTCTCTGGTCTCTCTCTTGTTTCTCTCTCTGGCCCCTCTCTAGTCTCTCTCTCTAGTCTCTCTCTCTAGTCTCTCTCTCTAGTCTCTCTCTGGTCTCTCTCTGGCCCCTCTCTAGTCTCTCTCTCTAGTCTCTCTCTCTGGTCTCTCTCTGGTCTCTCTCTAGTCTCTCTCTTTAGTCTCTCTCTCTGGTCTCTCTCTAGTCTCTCTCTCTAGTCTCTCTCTCTGGTCTCTCTCTGGCCCCTCTCTAGTCTCTCTCTCTGGTCTCTCTCTCTAGTCTCTCTCTCTAGTCTCTCTCTCTAGTCTCTCTCTCTAGTCTCTCTCTCTAGTCTCTCTCTCTAGTCTCTCTCTCTGGTCTCTCTCTCTAGTCTCTCTCTCTAGTCTCTCTCTCTAGTCTCTCTCTTTAGTCTCTCTCTCTGGTCTCTCTCTCTAGTCTCTCTCTCTAGTCTCTCTCTCTAGTCTCTCTCTCTAGTCTCTCTCTCTAGTCTCTCTCTCTAGTCTCTCTCTCTAGTCTCTCTCTCTGATCTCTCTCTAGTCTCTCTCTTGTCTCTCTCTAGTCACTCTCTGGTCTCTCTCTCGTCTCTCTCTCTAGTCTCTCTCTCTGGTCTCTCTCTGGTCTCTCTCTTGTTTCTCTCTCTAGTCTCTCTCTCTAGTCTCTCTCTGGTCTCTCTAGTCACTCTCTGGTCTCTCTCTAGTCTCTCTCTCTAGTCTCTCTCTCTGATCTCTCTCTGGTCTCTCTCTGGTCTCTCTCTTGTTTCTCTCTCTGGCCCCTCTCTAGTCTCTCTCGCTAGTCTCTCTCTCTAGTCTCTCTCTCTGGTCTCTCTCTGGCCCCTCTCTAGTCTCTCTCTCTAGTCTCTCTCTCTAGTCTCTCTCTCTAGTCTCTCTCTCTGGTCTCTCTCTGGTCTCTCTCTTGTTTCTCTCTCTGGCCCCTCTCTAGTCTCTCTCTCTAGTCTCTCTCTCTAGTCTCTCTCTCTAGTCTCTCTCTGGTCTCTCTCTGGCCCCTCTCTAGTCTCTCTCTCTAGTCTCTCTCTCTGGTCTCTCTCTGGTCTCTCTCTAGTCTCTCTCTTTAGTCTCTCTCTCTGGTCTCTCTCTAGTCTCTCTCTCTGGTCTCTCTCTGGCCCCTCTCTAGTCTCTCTCTCTGGTCTCTCTCTCTAGTCTCTCTCTCTAGTCTCTCTCTCTAGTCTCTCTCTCTAGTCTCTCTCTCTAGTCTCTCTCTCTAGTCTCTCTCTCTGGTCTCTCTCTCTAGTCTCTCTCTCTAGTCTCTCTCTCTAGTCTCTCTCTTTAGTCTCTCTCTCTGGTCTCTCTCTCTAGTCTCTCTCTCTAGTCTCTCTCTCTAGTCTCTCTCTCTAGTCTCTCTCTCTAGTCTCTCTCTCTAGTCTCTCTCTCTAGTCTCTCTCTCTGATCTCTCTCTAGTCTCTCTCTTGTCTCTCTCTAGTCACTCTCTGGTCTCTCTCTCGTCTCTCTCTCTAGTCTCTCTCTCTGGTCTCTCTCTGGTCTCTCTCTTGTTTCTCTCTCTAGTCTCTCTCTCTAGTCTCTCTCTGGTCTCTCTAGTCACTCTCTGGTCTCTCTCTAGTCTCTCTCTCTAGTCTCTCTCTCTGATCTCTCTCTGGTCTCTCTCTGGTCTCTCTCTTGTTTCTCTCTCTGGCCCCTCTCTAGTCTCTCTCGCTAGTCTCTCTCTCTAGTCTCTCTCTCTGGTCTCTCTCTGGCCCCTCTCTAGTCTCTCTCTCTAGTCTCTCTCTCTAGTCTCTCTCTCTAGTCTCTCTCTCTGGTCTCTCTCGCTAGTCTCTCTCTCTAGTCTCTCTCTCTAGTCTCTCTCTCTAGTCTCTCTCGCTAGTCTCTCTCTCTAGTCTCTCTCTCTGGTCTCTCTCTGGCCCCTCTCTAGTCTCTCTCTCTAGTCTCTCTCTCTAGTCTCTCTCTCTGGTCTCTCTCTCTAGTCTCTCTCTCTAGTCTCTCTCTCTAGTCTCTCTCTCTAGTCTCTCTCTCTAGTCTCTCTCTCTGATCTCTCTCTGGTCTCTCTCTGGTCTCTCTTTTGTTTCTCTCTCTGGCCCCTCTCTAGTCTCTCTCTCTAGTCTCTCTCTCTAGTCTCTCTCTCTAGTCTCTCTCTGGTCTCTCTCTGGCCCCTCTCTAGTCTCTCTCTCTAGTCTCTCTCTCTGGTCTCTCTCTAGTCTCTCTCTCTGGTCTCTCTCTAGTCTCTCTCTCTAGTCTCTCTCTCTGGTCTCTCTCTGACCCCTCTCTAGTCTCTCTCTCTAGTCTCTCTCTCTAGTCTCTCTCTCTAGTCTCTCTCTCTGGTCTCTCTCTCTAGTCTCTCTCTCTAGTCTCTCTCTCTGGTCTCTTTCTCTGGTCTCTCTCTCTAGTCTCTCTCTCTAGTCTCTCTCTCTAGTCTCTCTCTCTAGTCTCTCTCTCTAGTCTCTCTCTCTGATCTCTCTCTAGTCTCTCTCTGGTCTCTCTCTAGTCACTCTCTGGTCTCTCTCTAGTCTCTCTCTGGTCTCTCTCTAGTCTCTCTCTCTGATCTCTCTCTCTGATCTCTCTCTGGTCTCTCTCTGGTCTCTCTCTAGTCACTCTCTGGTCTCTCTCTAGTCTCTCTCTCTGATCTCTCTCTGGTCTCTCTCTGGTCTCTCTCTTGTTTCTCTCTCTGGCCCCTCTCTAGTCTCTCTCTCTAGTCTCTCTCTCTAGTCTCTCTCTCTAGTCTCTCTCTGGTCTCTCTCTGGCCCCTCTCTAGTCTCTCTCTCTAGTCTCTCTCTCTGGTCTCTCTCTGGTCTCTCTCTAGTCTCTCCCTCTAGTCTCTCTCTCTGGTCTTTCTCTAGTCTCTCTCTCTAGTCTCTCTCTCTGGTCTCTCTCTGGCCTCTCTCTAGTCTCTCTCTCTAGTCTCTCTCTCTAGTCTCTCTCTCTAGTCTCTCTCTCTAGTCTCTCTCTCTAGTCTCTCTCTCTGGTCTCTCTCTCTGGTCTCTCTCTCTAGTCTCTCTCTCTGGTCTCTCTCTCTGGTCTCTCTCTCTAGTCTCTCTCTCTAGTCTCTCTCTCTAGTCTCTCTCTCTAGTCTCTCTCTCTAGTCTCTCTCTCTAGTCTCTCTCTCTAGTCTCTCTCTCTAGTCTCTCTCTCTAGTCTCTCTCTCTAGTCTCTCTCTCTAGTCTCTCTCTCTAGTCTCTCTCTCTAGTCTCTCTCTCTAGTCTCTCTCTCTAGTCTCTCTCTCTGGTCTCTCTCTCTGGTCTCTCTCTCTAGTCTCTCTCTCTAGTCTCTCTCTCTAGTCTCTCTCTCTAGTCTCTCTCTCTAGTCTCTCTCTCTAGTCTCTCTCTCTAGTCTCTCTCTCTAGTCTCTCTCTCTAGTCTCTCTCTCTAGTCTCTCTCTGGTCTCTCTCTAGTCACTCTCTGGTCTCTCTCTAGTCTCTCTCTTGTTTCTCTCTCTGGCCCCTCTCTAGTCTCTCTCTCTAGTCTCTCTCTCTAGTCTCTCTCTGGTCTCTCTCTGGCCCCTCTCTAGTCTCTCTCTTTAGTCTCTCTCTCTGGTCTCTCTCTGGTCTCTCTCTAGTCTCTCTCTCTGGTCTCTCTCGCTAGTCTCTCTCTCTAGTCTCTCTCTCTGGTCTCTCTCTGGCCCCTCTCTAGTCTCTCTCTCTAGTCTCTCTCTCTAGTCTCTCTCTCTAGTCTCTCTCTCTAGTCTCTCTCTCTGGTCTCTCTCTCTAGTCTCTCTCTCTAGTCTCTCTCTCTAGTCTCTCTCTCTAGTCTCTCTCTCTAGTCTCTCTCTCTCTAGTCTCTCTCTCTGGTCTCTCTCTAGTCTCTCTCTCTAGTCTCTCTCTCTAGTCTCTCTCTATAGTCTCTCTCTCTGGTCTCTCTCTAGTCTCTCTCTCTAGTCTCTCTCTCTGGTCTCTCTCTAGTCTCTCTCTCTAGTCTCTCTCTCTAGTCTCTCTCTCTGGTCTCTCTCTAGTCTCTCTCTCTAGTCTCTCTCTCTAGTCTCTCTCTCTAGTCTCTCTCTAGTCTCTCTCTCTAGTCTCTCTCTCTAGTCTCTCTCTCTGGTCTCTCTCTCTAGTCTCTCTCTCTGGTCTCTCTCTCTAGTCTCTCTCTCTAGTCTCTCTCTCTAGTCTCTCTCTCTAGTCTCTCTCTCTAGTCTCTCTCTCTAGTCTCTCTCTCTGGTCTCTCTCTCTGGTCTCTCTCTCTAGTCTCTCTCTCTGGTCTCTCTCTGGTAAAGTCACAAATCTTCGCAGCGTCCTCGGCGATAACTGCTGCTGTGATTTATCTCGATACAAACGTAAAATGGACGTGACATGTGTAACGTGTGTGTCTCAGATCAGCGGCCGCGCCCTGGGGGACATCACGCTGACCATAAAGGTGACCCAGTGCTTCCTGCGCTCCAAAGGCTCGTGTCCCGTGGTGAAGGAGCTGCCGTTCCTCCCCGAGTCCTGCCACAGCACGTCCTGCTCTAACACCACCCGCCTCAGCTTCTCCCTGGACCAGCTGCAGGAACTCACCTCCACCACCTGGGACCTGGAGTGCTCCGTCAAGATCTGCTACAGCGAGGTACGAACGGCCACGCCCAGAAGTATAATGTACATGGTGTTGTTTGTGTATTCCAATGTGGTTTTACTGCAAATGGCAAATCAAATGGATCTAAATGCTATGAAAGGCAGGTCAAACTCAAGCCCAGGTGCTAAATGATGACAAATTAGGGCCCTTTAATTATCTTTAAAGGGACCAATTATCTTTTCCATGGCATGTTTTACTTCATTTTAACCTTTTAATGGTTTTTCCCTGACCATTTGGTGGATCACTTTTTGAGTCTCTATATCTGACGCTTGGAACTGAAATCTACCTCATCGGGGCATCTCACTTTTACCATCAGACTGTTTCTCAACTATAATTGTTTTTTTAAAAGAAAATTTGCATTGCTTTCTACAAGGAGTGAACATTAAAGGGTTAAGGCTTATCAATAATATGTTCAAAGAAATTATGACGATAAAAGAAAACCACTTTTATACTTTTGGCCCCAACCTGGTCTTACATTTTTTATTTTGGAAAAAATGAGTTTAACCCCCTATACTGTAAAACTCAAGACCACAAGACCATTTTTACTGCCCCTGAAATGATTTAAGGGCATGGCATGTTCATTTTAAATCCTAATTTCTCAAGAATATGACCGTATACATCTGTTCTAAAATATATATATCTGCTCTAAAATATATATATCTGTTCTAAAATATATATATCTGCTCTAAAATATATATATATCTGTTCTAAAATATATATATCTGTTCTAAAATATATATATCTGTTCTAAAATATATATATATCTGTTCTAAAATATATATATATCTGTTCTAAAACATATATATCTGTTCTAAAATATATATATCTGCTCTAAAATATATATATCTGTTCTAAAATATATATATCTGTTCTAAAATATATATATCTGTTCTAAAATATATATATATCTGTTCTAAAATATATATATATCTGTTCTAAAACATATATATCTGTTCTAAAATATATATATCTGCTCTAAAATATATATATCTGTTCTAAAATATAAGTAAATATAAGTTAGTTTGGAAAAGATAAATAACAGTCTTCCATCCATCCAGTTTAGATTAGAATAGATTCAACTTTATTGTCATTACAAAGAAGAGAGGAGAACAGAGAGAGACCAGAGAGAGAGAGACCAGAGAGAGACCAGAGAGAGACCAGAGAGAACAGAGAGACCAGAGAGAGAGAGACCAGAGAGAGACCAGAGAGAACAGAGAGACCAGAGAGAGAGAGACCAGAGAGAGAGAGACCAGAGAGAGACCAGAGAGAGACCAGAGAGAACAGAGAGACCAGAGAGAGAGAGACCAGAGAGAGACCAGAGAGAGACCAGAGAGAACAGAGAGACCAGAGAGAGAGAGACCAGAGAGAGAGAGACCAGAGAGAGACCAGAGAGAGACCAGAGAGAGACCAGAGAGAGAGAGACCAGAGAGAGACCAGAGAGAACAGAGAGACCAGAGAGAGACCAGAGAGGGACCAGAGAGAGAGGGACCAGAGAGAGACCAGAGAGAACAGAGAGAACAGAGAGAACAGAGAGACCAGAGAGAGAGGGACCAGAGAGAGAACAGAGAGACCAGAGAGAGACCAGAGAGGGAGGGACCAGAGAGAACAGAGAGACCAGAGAGAACAGAGAGAACAGAGAGACCAGAGAGAGAGGGACCAGAGAGAGAACAGAGAGACCAGAGAGAGACCAGAGAGAGAGACCAGAGAGAGACCAGGGAGAGAGAGACCAGAGAGAGACCAGAGAGAGACCAGAGAGAGACCAGAGAGACCAGAGAGAGAGGGACCAGAGAGAGACCAGAGAGAGAGGGACCAGAGAGAGAGAGAGACCAGAGAGAGGGACCTGAGAGAGACCAGAGAGAGAGGGACCAGAGAGAGACCAGAGAGAGAGGGACCAGAGAGAGACCAGAGAGAGACCAGGGAGAGAGAGACCAGAGAGAGACCAGAGAGAGACCAGAGAGAGACCAGAGAGGGACCAGAGAGAGAGGGACCAGAGAGAGACCAGAGAGAACAGAGAGACCAGAGAGAGACCAGAGAGAGACCAGAGAGGGACCAGAGAGAGAGGGACCAGAGAGAGACCAGAGAGAGAGGGACCAGAGAGAGAGAGAGACCAGAGAGAGACCAGAGAGAGACCAGAGAGAGAGAGAGAGAGACCAGAGAGAGACCAGAGAGAGAGGGACCAGAGAGGGACCAGAGAGAGAGGGATCAGAGAGAGACCAGAGAGAGAGGGACCAGAGAGAGACCAGAGAGAGACCAGAGAGAGACCAGAGAGAGACCAGAGAGAGAGGGACCAGAGAGAGACCAGAGAGAGACCAGAGACTTCTATGACACCAACTTATAAATATTGTGCTTTGTAGAAATGTGGAGATGGGGAGCGGGTGAAGCGGTCCCTGGAGGTCACTCAGCCGTGTCTACAGCCACAGAGTGAGTCCAACACAACATTCTTACAAACTGTCTTTGTGCGTGGCCCCCGTGTGTGAAAGAAGGATCCGGTCAGAGCTCTGATGCTAAGCAGGGAAGGGCCTGGTTGGTTCTGTGATGGGAGACCTCTGGGAATAGCAGAGAGGCAGCTGTGAAGTGTCAAACTGCCATTAATAATAATAATAATAATAATAGTAATACATTTAATTTCTTAGGCACCTTTCTAGACACTCAAGATCACCTGACTTTAAATACAAGTAAAAAGTACCTTTAAAAACCGTTGAAATACAGTTAAATTACAAAGTCAAGATTTTTGTGGTTAATTGTGTCCTTAGGCAAGACACTTCCCCCACATTAGAATGAGTCTGGTGTGTGTGAATGGTTGGTGGTGGTGGGAGGGGCCGATGGCAGAGACTGGTTGCCTCGCTTCTGTCAGTGTGCCCCAGGGCAGCTGTGGCTACAGTAGTAGTTAATCACCACCGTGTTTGGAGAGAAGAGACATGTGAAGAGACTTTGCTAGAGTGAGAGATTTTATTTAATTTTAGTATAGAGTAATTGTTCTTTTATCCTCACTGTGGGACAAATAAATCATATCTTAATCTTAATCTTAATCTTTGAGCGTCCAAAAAGTGCTATATATAATTTGAGTCAAAATCACTTGGTCTTTTCTCTGCACTGGAGGAATGTGTGTGTAATACCACTTATATATTTATAATAAGTAAATCATCTGTATGTATATAGAGCCTTTCACACACCAGAGTCACAAAGCTCTTTACAGTTGTGGGCATTAGTCTCTCAGTCCACACAGAGATGGAGCCGGTCACCTACAGCAGGCACACGACAGATCTATTCTACATGTTTTTAGTGGTAGGGAAAACCGGAGCACCCAGAGGAAACCTATGCAGACACGGGGAGAACATGCAAACTCCACTCAGAAAGACCCTATTCCGGCCCGGGATTCAAACTCGGTACTTTTTTGCTGAGAAGCGAGAGTGCTAACCACTCAGCCACCGTGCATGTTTTTATTGGTGAGGGAAACAGCAGCACCCGGAGGAAACCTAAGCAGACAAACCTATGCAAACTCCACACAGAAAGTCTCTCTCTAGCTCAGGCTGCAGCTCAGGCCGGGCCGGGTCTGGGTCTGGGTCTGGGTCTGGGTCTGTGGTGCTGTTACTGTCATTAGACACATGCTTCTTTGTAATGGTGATGTTAGAGATTATATACTTGAGACCAGAGAGAAACTAGAGAGAGACCAGAGAGAGAGACCAGAGAGAGACCAGAGAGAGACCAGAGAGAGAGACCAGAGAGAGACCAGAGAGAGACCAGAGAGAGAGAGACCAGAGAGAGACTAGAGAGAGACCAGAGAGAGAGAGACCAGAGAGAGACTAGAGAGAGACCAGAGAGAGAGACCAGAGAGAGACTAGAGAGAGACCAGAGAGAGACCAGAGAGAGAGACCAGAGAGAGACTAGAGAGAGACCAGAGAGAGAGACCAGAGAGAGACCAGAGAGAGACCAGAGAGAGAGACCAGAGAGAGACCAGAGAGAGACCAGAGAGAGACCAGAGAGAGACCAGAGAGAGACCAGAGAGAGACCAGAGAGAGACACCTGAGAGAGAGACCAGAGAGAGAGAGACCAGAGAGAGACCAGAGAGAGAGAGACCAGAGAGAGACCAGAGAGAGACCAGAGAGAGACCAGAGAGAGACTAGAGAGAGACCAGAGAGAGACCAGAGAGAGAGAGACCAGAGAGAGACCAGAGAGGCCAGAGAGAGAAACCAAAGAGAGAGACCAGAGAGAGACCAGAGAGAGACCAGAGAGAGACCAGAGAGAGACCAGAGAGAGACTAGAGAGAGACCAGAGAGAGACCAGAGAGAGAGAGACCAGAGAGAGACCAGAGAGGCCAGAGAGAGAAACCAAAGAGAGAGACCAGAGAGAGAGACCAGAGAGAGGGACCAGAGAGAGACCAGAGAGAGAGAGAGACCAGAGAGAGACTAGAGAGAGACCAGAGAGAGACCAGAGAGAGACCAGAGAGAGAGAGACCAGAGAGACCAGAGAGAGACCAGAGAGAGAGAGACCAGAGAGAGACTAGAGAGAGACTAGAGAGAGACTTGAGAGAGACCAGAGAGAGACCAGAGAGAGAGAGACCAGAGAGAGACCAGAGAGAGAGAGACTAGAGAGAGACCAGAGAGAGACCAGAGAGAGACCAGAGAGAGAGAGACCAGAGAGAGACTAGAGAGAGACTAGAGAGAGACCAGAGAGAGACCAGAGAGAGACCAGAGAGAGAGAGACCAGAGAGAGACCAGAGAGAGAGAGACTAGAGAGAGACCAGAGAGAGACCAGAGAGAGACCAGAGAGAGACCAGAGAGAGAGAGACCAGAGAGAGACTAGAGAGAGACTAGAGAGAGACTTGAGAGAGACCAGAGAGAGACCAGAGAGAGAGAGACCAGAGAGAGACCAGAGAGAGACCAGAGAGAGAGAGACCAGAGAGAGACTAGAGAGAGACTAGAGAGAGACTTGAGAGAGACCAGAGAGAGACCAGAGAGAGACCAGAGAGAGAGAGACCAGAGAGAGACCAGAGAGAGAGAGACTAGAGAGAGACTAGAGAGAGACTTGAGAGAGACCAGAGAGAGACCAGAGAGAGACTAGAGAGAGACCAGAGAGAGACCAGAGAGAGACCAGAGAGAGACCAGAGAGAGACCAGAGAGAGACTAGAGAGAGACCAGAGAGAGACCAGAGAGAGAGCATCAAAAACCCAGGCTCTTCAGATGATGAAGTGTGGGCCCTGAGCACAGAGGTGGGACTCACACTCGGCTCCTTCTGCAGATTATTTATTGCTTAAAGCCCCCGGAATGTTAGTTTTCATCTGAGATAAAGCTAAATGTTTGTGTTTTTGTACACTGGAAAAAATCCCTTGAAAAATATGGGGAAAAAAATATGAAAATAGTACGCAAAATACTGCTTAAAATAAGAAAAAACAAATGGAAATACGTAAAATACTGCTTAAAATAATAAAAATAAAAAATAGAGAGAAACCAGAGAGAGACCAGAGAGAGACCAGAGAGAGACTAGAGAGAGACCAGAGAGAGACCAGAGAGAGACCAGAGAGAGACCAGAGAGAGACCAGAGGGAGACCAGAGGGAGACCAGAGAGAGACCAGAGAGAGACTAGAGAGAGACCAGAGAGAGACTTGAGAGAGACTAGAGAGAGACCAGAGAGACCAGAGAGAGACTAGAGAGAGACCAGAGAGAGACTAGAGAGAGACTAGAGAGAGACCAGAGAGAGGGACCAGAGAGAGGGACCAGAGAGAGAGACCAGAGAGAGAGACCAGAGAGAGACCAGAGAGAGACTAGAGAGAGACTAGAGAGAGACGAGAGAGAGAATTGAGAGAGAATTGAGAGAGACCAGAGAGAGACCAGAGAGAGACCAGAGAGAGACTTGAGAGAGACTTGAGAGAGACTTGAGAGAGACCAGAGAGAGAGTAGAGAGAGACCAGAGAGAGACCAGAGAGAGACCAGAGGCCAGAGAGAGACCAGAGAGAGAGACCAGAGAGAGAGACCAGAGAGAGAGAGACCAGAGAGAGACCAGAGAGAGACTTGAGAGAGACCAGAGAGAGACCAGAGAGAGAGACCAGAGAGAGAGACCAGAGAGAGAGAGACCAGAGAGAGACCAGAGAGAGACTTGAGAGAGACCAGAGAGAGACCAGAGAGAGAGACCAGAGAGAGACCAGAGAGAGACCAGAGAGAGACCAGAGAGAGACTAGAGAGAGACCAGAAAGAGACCAGAGAGAGACTAGAGAGAGACCAGAGAGAGACCAGTGAGAGACCAGAAAGAGACCAGAGAGAGACCAGAGAGAGACCAGAGAGAGACCAGAGAGAGACTAGAGAGAGACCAGAGAGAGACCAGAGAGAGACCAGAGAGAGAGAGCAGCCTGTTGTCATAGCAGTGAAGCAGGAAGTGGAGGAGCAGTGAGCGAGGCCGGTCCGTGAGGAAGCTCTGCAGCTTGACCTTGTGCCACAATCAGACTTAATGGGTCTCGGGGGAAGTGGAGCCAGGTCCTTTGTGTTTCGAGAGAGATTCTTAAACGTTGCTGTCCTGGTCCTGACGCCATCGTCCGCCTCGCATCAAAAACCCAGGCTCTTCAGATGATGAAGTGAGGGCCCTGAACACAGAGGTGGGACTCACACTCAGCTCCTTCTGCAGATTATTTATTGCTTAAAGCCCCCGGAATGTTAGTTTTCATCTGAGATAAAGCTAAATGTTTGTGTTTTTGTACACTGGAAAAAATCCCTTGAAAAATATGGGGAAAAAAATATGAAAATACGTAAAATACTGCTTAAAATAAGAAAGAAATATGGAAATACGTAAAATACTGCTTAAAATAAAGAAATACATGGAAATACTGCTTAAAATAAGAAAAAAATATGGAAATACGTAAAATACTGCTTAAAATAAAGAAATACATGGAAATACTGCTTAAAATAAGAAAAAAAATATGGAAATACGTAAAATACTGCTTAAAATAAGAATAAATATCTGCCAATAAATCGAGGAAATATGACTAAAAATAAGAAAATTACACTAGCCCCAAATTCTTTTGAGAAATATTGTCTTAAATTATAGCATCACAAACTCTAAACAAATACCATTAAAAACTGCTGCTCAGAATTTTAAGACTAATAAGATTATGAAGTATTTTTAAACCAGTAAAATAATCTTATGACAAACTACATTCAAGCAACAAAAATGTAGCATATTTTTTGTGGATAAATTTGACCAAGATTTTACTTTTTTTAGTGTATAGCCTTAAATCCCAACAGTAGATAAAAACAAAAAAAGCCATTGGTCCATAACGGTCCTGGGTCATCACCGCTGTCCCTACACCAGGCCTGCCCAAACTCAGGCCCGGGGGCTATTTGCGAATCGATAATTTTGTTAAGTTTCCCGAGACGACTGCTGCACAAAAAAAAAATGCATTTCTTTGTGTATTGATGCTCAGATTAGTGTCA